GCGGGACCCGGCGGCGCCGGTTCAGTCGTCGCAGGGCTGCGCGCAGCCGGGGCACGGGGGGATCGGCCTCCTTCCCCCGGCCGGTCACCTGGTGGCACTGTAAGGGAAGGTAACGGAGAGCGCTGGTATTTTCTAGGGAGGTTGACGAGAACACTGCCGTGTGAAATAAGCCGTGCGCTTTCCACAGACGAAGAATCAACAGATCTAACTCCTGAGAACTACTTTCATTGCTGGGGACTGCAGAGCCTCTGAGCAGAGAGCAGAGTCGGCCTGCGGCGGGGTCCGCGGGCAGCGGGGCAGGTCCCGGGCTGCCTGCAAGCGCCGTGGAGCCGGTGAGGGTCCGATATGGAGAGAGAGAACCCGCCGGCCGCGGCGCCCGCACCTCCGAGGGACTTGGCTGTAGGTGACCAGGCGCGGCCCGCGGCTTTCACACCGACCGGCACGGGTGTGGCTCTCGCGGGGCCTTTCAGCTTGCGAGCAAAGTGGTGCTGACAGGAGGTGCGACTCGGCAAAGGCCTTGTTAAACGTGCCTGGCTGAAGACTTACCAGAGGCCCCACTGAGATCGCACGAGGGCCTAAGAAAATGGATGTGCTGCAAACAGTGAAAGTGCATGAACCAGATTATTCATTATTTGCAAGAGTAACACCCAATCAGTCTTTATGTCACCTGCTCCTTGATAAACTGCTTCCAAACCAAGGGTATGCGAACTGAAAAACAGGACTCTTGTCATATGAGACTCGTGAGAGATTGCAGACTTCTGGTTTGAAAGACTGGTAGCCTGAAGTTGTGTGTCTTGCACACCAAGTACAACCCACCCAGAACCGACTCTTGCTACTAACATAGTTCTTCTGTCATGGATGTGATGCCAGCGCTGCCTTTCTGTTCCCTGGCCACATCACCAGGCACAAGTGAGGGGCCTGGCAGGTGGTTCCTGTTTGTGGAGGAGGCAGAGAGCAGGCAGGGTGGCAGCCACGGCAGGATGGGGGAAGGCTCCTTCCAGCTGGCCCACACATGTTACTCACAAGTCCCGTTTCCAGCTACAGCCCTTGTACCCACCAGCCCATCCAGTCACACGCCTCTGGCCACACATCCACCAGTTCTGCGTGTCGACAGAGGAAAAACTCAAGAGCATTGTTGCAAAGCTGCTTCATCTGGTCTGGGAAAAAAATGCAGAAACCTGGTATGGGTGCATGCTGAAGGTTAAAAAAACAAGATGCCATGAAAAGAATCAACCGCCAGACAGTGAAAAAGGCTGCGCCAAAAGACAAAGTTGTGATTGTGATATGTAAGAAAAACACTTGCTCGTCATTTGAATCTCCATTAGTTTCGAGAAAAAATTTTGATTCCCCTGGTTTCTTTTTAGAGCCCAAGATATTGCACCCAAGAACACTGATTTAAGTATATTGCAGGATCAGAGCCAAAGGGATTTCTACTGTATCCAAAACATAAACTTAGAAATTTGAGGCCTGGCTTGATTTTTTTCCCAACGCTTATTTCAGTAACTTTTACACCCCAAATTATTTTCATGGATGATACAGAAGATTTGTGGATTCAGGCAGATTAATTAGTTATGTCTAACTCCCAAATTAATCAAATTTCATAATAACAAATGACAGATGAGATGGACTACTTTACAGGAATAGGGTTCTAATGACCTAAAATAAATCTTCAAAGATAATAATGGAAAATGAGGGTCCTTTTAGTTCCCGCACATGAAAATTCATGTAGTTTTATTATATGAAACTGTTGATTTTGCATTGCTGTGAATTCTGAGCAGTACTCCTACAGCATTTATTTACTATTCTGTGCTATTCTGATAGAAATTAATTAATTCTTTTTCTGTGTACAGCCTAGTGTTGATAAACTGCCGATTGCTTGAAAAAGTATCTGGAAGCACCTGTGAACTCAAAAATATCAGTGCAAGTTCTAAGTATTAGGAATAAATTGTTCAGTTGAAAATGCTAAGAGAATCCTGACTTTTGTCCAAAGACTAATATAAATTACAGGTCAATACTGAATATTAATTGCATTTAATCTATTTTGCTCCAGAAATTTGACAGGAGATATAATTTAGAGATACAATTTGGATTGAAATATTTGAGAACATTTAATAATGTAATCAAGAATTATTAACTCACTGCATTTTAATGTGGAATAAGCAGTTCTTCCCTCTTTTATTTATTATAAACAGAGAACCTTTGAGGCATGGGGGAGGCATTCATACAGGAATTCAAGGAATCTTTCTAGCGAAGGAGGAAATCAAAAATTAAAATACAAGAAGAGAGTTTGATTAGTTGAACAGTAAAGAAAACTGGTGCCCACTTTGAGCTTTGCCGTCCAGCCAGCAAGAAAAGAGAATATTCAGAAATTCAGATGCAAATAAAAATATGCTATCAGTACAAGTCCAGCTGAGATCCTGTAACTCTCTGAATAAATTGTTCAGTTGCATCGCCATGAAGGGATCTTGGGGAACTAGCACTGTAATTTCCTGTAGCTTATGACTAGACGAGACCTCCATCTCTGGAGAGGATGTGGGGAAAACTTGCCTCAGTCACATATGTAGCACTCTGTGCTTTTGTTAGCACCAGTTCCTGTTGCATGCTAAAAAACTGCTGCTTGCTGTTTTGCATGATATTTTCTGTTTCTCCACTTACAAGTAAGATTTAGGGAGGAGATAAACTGAGAATAAGAGCAACGATGCACATGATCTTTTTAGATAATTCTAACCATTCTACCCCTCAAACACCGAAGTACTAACCCTCCTAGTGAAAATGCAAATGAATTCACTCAGCAAGTTCTGCATGGAAGAAGCTGCTGGCTGGGAACAGAAAAGCGAGCTAACCCAGACTTCAGCGCGTATTTCATTAAAACAGGTTATTTCAACAACAGTTTACCTTGTTTGCTAGCCACTTTCCAGCATAGATATTAGAATAATTTGAGAAAAACTTGATCCTTTTCAGTACATTTACCACTACTCATTTCCTTGGAGAGAAGTGCAAATAAACAGGCTGACCACTCAAGGATAAAATCCAAGCCCTATGCAAGTCATTAGAGATTTCACCACTGACCTCAGCTACGACAAGATGACACAAAACTTGCTCAAAGATGAAGAGACCTGAGATGAAAGGAAGAAGCTCTGAAGTACCCCATCCACAATCTGACTCATTCACAAAACTGAGTTCTTTTAGAACCTCTTTGTAAAATATTCTTACCGTTCTTATTGATCTTATTTATCCTGAAAAACTACCTCTAGTAATATATAACTAAATAACTGCAGCATAGCCTCTGAGATCTAGGTACCTCAGATATTTTTCATTTTTCTTCTTTTTTTTCCTCTGCATTTCCTATTTTTTCATGAAAATATTTTTGATACTTTAGGAAATTTTATAATAGTGTTTACTTCTTTCAAATTTCAAAGCTAACTCCAGTGAACTGTATTCACTGGGCTAACACAATATCAGCATATTTCTGAGCAAGTTAAAGCAGGACTTTCAAAAACAGTCGAAGTGGAAAATGTGGGGGATTTTTGCTGAAACTTCAGCTTCTAAAATCATGACATTTCTGACTTGATAATGAAAGAAATCAGGCACTTTCTGTTCTTACACAACAGTAGGTTTCCTGACAGCATGACTTCCTCATTGTGAAATGCAAAACAAGAACAGTTGACACAACACAAACACTGTTAGGTCTGTCGAAGGGAAGTATTCTGCATTTCTGATCCCAGTCAGATCATTTCTAGGGATTGAAAAAATGTCTTTTAATTAAATGTATGTAGTTAGGCTGAGTCCGTTCTTTGCATTACGTTCAGATTCAGTCTCCCTACCAAAAGCCCTATCCTGAAGAATTTCCAGATCTGCAACTCATGAAACAAAATCTTAACTGTTCTACTACTAGCTATTGGCAGTTGATTTGTGTTTTGGAAATGCTTCTGTTCTATGGGCATCTCCATTTTTGCTCCAATAGAGGGTAAACGGAGCCAGTTAGGGTGTTTGCATAAATCCTACATTACTCTTCCGGGACACTAGGCACTTTCCACTGTGTGCCAAAGTACTTTCTTAGCTAACATGAGCCACCAGAATACACATTTCTTTATACAATTCTCTTGTAGTATCATGTTCCATGCTGACCCCTCTGTCTAAATGAAGGTGAAGCTCATAGGTTGTTGGATACACTGAAAAATAAAAGGGCGAGTGTTGTGAGAGTGTTTGGGAATCCAGGTTTTCAGGACTGTTACTCTGCAGCAGTAGCATGACCTAGTGTCTTCGAATATCCCAAATCACTCTTCAAACAAGTCAGATAAAGCTAAATGTAAAATAAAGAGTTCTTCACAGTATCTAACAAAGTTTGCAGAACAGAGGGAAAAAAACCCATGTGTATGCTAAAGAATGATACTACTCTGGGTGGCCTAGCTGGTCGGTCTATAAGCACAGGTGGTCATCTAGATCAGGATCTGGCACTCATTCTGCGGCACAGATCTACATCTGTAGTTAACGAAGAGCTGGGCTGGGGATAAATCCTTCATCCTTTCATACCCCAAAGCCATTTGGGGAAATTTATCACACCCACCTCTCTCCTCAGGGATATCCATATCTTCATCGGCAAGGAGTCTCAGCCTCCCTTACTGGCAGACCCCTCCTGTTCTGAAACACTCCCTTCGTTTGTGCTTCTCCCAGCGCTACCCCTTCCTCTCCAGTCCCGCTGGTCAACCAGGTCGGTTACGGTGCGTGTGTCAGGCTGGGGAATGTCCCAGGCCTCAAGTGCAACTAGATGTTTCGAACCTTTTTCCATCAGGACGCTCCCGCCCAGGGCGTACCGTGGTACCAGACACACAGCCCCGCCTTGGGGTTCGATACCGATCATTACTTAGTATTTCAAGCAAGTACAAAGGAATGTTTTTTTGCTCCACACCGTGCCGAAAGCCGCCGTACTCCCCGAGCGCTGGCCCCGCGGCCAAGGCGGCGCCCCGGCCCCTAAAACAGTGAGGCAGAGCCCCGAGTCAGGCGCAGTCGCGCTCGCTGGGGCGATGAGGAGTTCGCTTTTCGGGAAACCCAGTCAGCCGGTGCCGGAAGAAGGCCGGAGCCCCGAGGGGCGCCGGGGCGGTCTCTCCGGGCGGGGCTGGGGGCCCCCTCGCCCCGGAACCGCCC